CACGTAAACACACACATTCCGATAACCTAACAGTGTGCGTTTTCACACACATAATGCATCTGCACAAAGACGCAAAAGCGCATAAAAATGAATGATACTGGGAAAGAAACATTTGGAGGAAAACGACGAGCGATTTGTAGATGTCCAGTGAGGGCAGTGGCCATCACCAGAGGCCAAGAGCTCGCCAAATTCAGCCTCCACTGGGCACAACTTTTCACCCTAGCGTAATCACCTTCCGCGTCCATTGTCCGACATCACTGGGCGACGGTTGTTACGTGCTTCCCCACTGTGACACACATACGAAGATATGCGCGGCTGGCGCACTTTAGAGATTATCAGATGAAAATGCTGCACGAGGTACCACCTGCTGGCTCCGGACATGCCGTAGCACGCAGCTCCTGGCATTTTGCGAGTCAGAGGAGAGGCCCGGGAAACCCGGGGACACCGTGGCACAGGGGCAGAAGCGGTTGCACCAAGGCGGCTTTACTGCAACAAGAGACTTAGTAGTGCGTTGCGCAACATCCAAGGCACGCCACATTTCAGACAGCGGTACTGAGACTAAGTGGTCAGTGGCCTGCAAACAGCACCGAGCTTCGCCACGTTGACCAACACCCCGCCCCCCCCCCTTCCCCCCTGACCACTTGTCGCATGGCTGCAACACTCATGTAATTCGGATGAAAAAGTGCTGCACTGGCTGTAGCACCTGAGCAGAGGCAAATGCTTGGCAATCTGCCAGTTGGCGTCTCAATGCGCACGGCGACTGCGTCGCGTTGTGGGGTCTTGTTGACAAGGTCCGATGGTTTGCCGGGCTGTGGGTGGGGCGTGCTTGGGAGCGGGGTAGGAGGAGGGTGTTCACGGGCCCCTACGGACTTCTGTACGGTCTGCGCCGAGGCTGCCGCGGGTCCGTGCCGACGCGAGTATACGTCTTCAGGATTCGGAGGTGGCGGAGGACTCATTTAACGGATGGCTGACGCGGCGCTGCGGCTCCAGCGTCCGGTCGTTGCGTGTGTGTATGTGTGTGTGTGTGTGTGTGTGTGCTGGTCGCGGAGTGCTCTCGTTGCTGCTGTGTCCGTTGCGCGTGGGCAGGTCGCTGTGCCGTGCTGGTCACTCTGGCTGCGTGAGAGGCGTCCGGAGGGGTGCGGCCGCGACGCATGCAGCCAGGCAGCGTTCGCGCATCTGCGCAGGGCGACAAATTCGTGCAGAAGAGCGGCGCTGTTGCCGGAGCATGAGTCAGGCGAGGGGTTGCACGTTGGCGGGTTTCTAGTGATAGCGCGTTTACGGAACTCGTGCCATGTGCTTGATCTGTGCCTTTTT